ATAAATAAATAAATAAATAAATAAATAAATAAATAAAATAATAAATTTATTTTGCTAAAGTGTATCTTCAATTCTGTTCTACTCAGATGTAGATTTAATCGGGAGGCTCTGTAGAAATGTACAAAAGACTGTCTCCTTTAACTTGTATGTTCCCTGTTCATGTGATTAAGGTAGGAGGAAGGTTAGCATTGGGGTTTGAAGTTGCTTAGTGCTGCAATCACAAGCATGTCCAGCTACTGTGATTTGCTCTGCATGGGGTTGCACTTGAACATCACTCCAATACTTCAGTTGGTGCAAAACCAGCTCCCTATTCAATGACAGTCAGGCCCATTATTGTCACGTTACATTGTTCGTACAGGAGAGGCACTGATTACCAGCTTATTTCCAAATGGCATTCAAGGCACGGATTATCCCCCAGAAGGGTATGGGATGCGAGTCTTCGAGACAACCCCCCCCCCCATTCTAGATAGAATCTGCTCATTCTACCATTCTATCAAAATCTGTCAGTTTCATAGCTGAATAGGGAAGTGAACCTTAGATCAATACAGCAATTGTTGTTTCACAGGGTCCAAATTTATACACATATGAAGACCCCAGCCTGATAAAAAAGGTGTCACAAGTCTTCAAAGACTTCTCTTAGTCTTCAAAGTGCCACAAGACATTTACTCAAATAAAAATGTAAGTGCAAGCAGAGAACAACATCAGTGATCCTGTAAAGAGTATTTACATTTGCACGTATTCCTACAATGTCACCGAAAAGGGGATAACTGTCCCTTTTCAAGGACAACTTTAACATCCACATAATATCTGTTCTTCTGCATTGTCCAGAAAACAGTTGCCAAACACACATTGAGTCAAAAGACTCAAAAGCTAGCAATCTTGGGTTGCTCATTAGAGCCAACAACTCCTTCTTTTTGCAAAGTAAAAAAAGAAGTTAGACAAAGCTGAAGATGCCAATACAAAGGACCTTTGCTGGACTGATTACTGTGGCACAATTAATGAAGTCAAACAAGTGGCAAATTGAAGCACTTCCATGGCCAGTTAGTTCTTAGTTGCACCTGGCCAATAATTCCAGCACATCTTCTTGACGATATGGGGAGAGAATGCAGCAGTAGATAACCAGGTCAGACAGTGAAGAGACGCAAGGTACTCTGAGAGGCTGGGCGCACAAACTAGGATTGACTTATAAACTTGGTTCTTCCCTGGAAGCTGTTTCTAATCCTCCCTGCGGTAGGCCATAAAAGCATCCTAACCTCATTCAGAACTAACAATGACTTCAAAGCAATTAGTTCCAATCACATTGTCCAAACCTGGAAGCTTCCAAAATGTGTTGACCACTTGGGGAAAGCAGGCAAGTCAAACTGCCAGCCAGACCCTGGCAAACAGAGCAGACACGGAGCTCTTGTTCTTCCCAAAGATTCCTTGTGTGTCTCATCACACTTGGCCAAATAAAGTATTCAATTCAATGTTTTCAGTTTTTTTAAAAGTCACGTGACGTGAAAGGTGGGCTTGCAAGTCAGCAAGCACATAGCAGCTGCTTCAGAATCCTTGTCCTGTTTTATGCTTTGTTGTAAGCCCAACCCTTTTCTCCCTCCGGGCAACCGGTTGAGAGGCTTGGCCATCTACCTTCGGCTGACCTGCTCCTCTCTTGCATTTCATGAAGCCTCCTGCCTCCCCGCAGGAAGGCTTGCTCTGCAGAGAATTGGCCTTGGCATCCTCTCTGCTCTCACTGATTTGCGCTGACTTCTCCTCTGCCTTAAACTCATGTATGGTGGAATTCTGCAACTCTTTAAAATGTCCATCAGATGATATAACCACACAGGAGGTCTCTGGCAGAGAAAAGACTTGAACCCAGCTCATCCAGACTTAAGAAAGCCTTTATCCTATGAAACTTTCAGAATCTGTAAAAGCAACCTAACTTTTCTTCTATTTTAACTTCAGATAGAAAACATGACTAAGCTAAGAAGTACTGCAAGTCACCGAATTTATTTCTCAGGCACATCCCTAAGCCAAAGCAAAGAGAGAGCCCTGTAAAATCAGGGTTGAGTGAGGAAAAAGAGGTTGCCCCCTGCAGCTGGAACAGGCCTGGCAGCTCACTCTTTGCAGCACATTTCTGCAGCGCAAGACCACAAAAATACTCTTTTAAAATGCAAGCCAAGTGCAGAGCAAAGATTGGAAAGCTAGAAAACCGAGATAAGGCAGAGTGAAGCAGACACAACTTGGGCAGGAATGACGTGAGCTAGCGATTCCACTGAGTTCACAACAGGAAGGTTAAGGCCAAAAGTGTTCACATGGTTTGGGACAAAGAGAAAGAAACAAACTCTCATCCTCTTCTTTCTCCTTGGTTTGAGATGGGAGAGAATGATTGCAGCACTCTCTTTCTGGAGGCAAGACGGATGAGCAAAATACTGGCATTTTCTTACAACA